GTCCAGTCAGACCAGGTGCATGTTGGGGTCCAGTCAGACCAGGTATATGTTGGGGTCCAGTCAGACCAGGTGCATGTTGGGGTCCAGTCAGACCAGGTGCATGTTGGGGTCCAGTCAGACCAGGTGCATGTTGGGGTCCAGTCAGACCAGGTGCATGTTGGGGTCCAGTCAGACCAGGTGCATGTTGGGGTCCAGTCAGACCAGGTATATGTTGGGGTCCAGTCAGGTCAAGTGATCAGAAGAACTCCTGTCCCTACGTAGAAGAGCTCTGAATAACAGAACACCAGGGTTGGGATCAATTCCATTTTAATTCCAGTAAATTCAAAACGTAAACTCAATTCCAATTCCATATTTTCCTAATTGAAAAGCATTGAGAATTGGAACTGGAACTTCAGTGTACTTCCTGAATTGACTGGAATTGAAATGGAATTGACCCCAACCCTGCAGAGCACTGAAGTCAGAAGGTGTCCCTTGGTTTGATAACTTCTAGTTTCAGATTCAGAAACTTCTAGATTCAGAAACGTCTAGAGCTTCAATTATAACTTGAGCAAAAGAGAGGAAACAATGGAGTCATTGAGAATCCTTTCTTTTGACGACCAAATCTGCCATTTGTCAGCTGCTAAATTCCACCCAGACAACATGGATAGTGCCTGTCATAACATGGTGAGTGTCACTATCCCTGCAGTACCATCATGGGGGCATGATTCAGAGTGGGTCTGGGCACCAGAACAGTTATTATACAATTCCAATGGGACATTTTTGAATGACAATCACGTCTAGTGTGAACCTGTGAGCTAGACAGGCCGAGATAGTATGAGAGAGAGGAAGAGCGGGAGAGAGAGAGATTGAAAATGAACACTGCATAGACACCCTAGTACTAGAGGACAGTGACATGCCACCTACTGGAGTCACCAGTGCTGCAAGCTGTCACAGACTCCGATGGTGACGGTGGGCCATCTTTATTTAGCACCGGACCAGCCTGACTGGGGATCGGCCCAGGCGGCGGGGGGCTTCTGGCACGACAACCAATCACAAAGGGACACTTGTACATAAACCAGAGAGCTGGAGAGTGAACCAACAGGAGGGAAGGAAGGAGAGCGAGAACCTGGGCCATGTTCAATAAAACCTGTTTTATGACTACAGAACACAACCCTTTTTTAACCCTTTGCTATAACATCACCGGTATCATAGAAATTGCACTGCCTTAAACATTTCATAAGTTAAAAACAGATATTCATCTGACATAGTTAAATTGCTCTTAAATGCTAACGTGCTAGCTACACAAAGTGATCGTGATAACAAACAGAAACGAGACCAACTTGTAAAAAATGAAGTACAAACTTTATTATTCTGTCTTTACAAAAGGCACAAGCCTCTTCTTTATCCGCCCACAAGTTTCTTCTTCTTTAAAAAAACTCAAAATATAATAGCTTCTCAACGACCGTGTGGACTGACTGTCCAACAAAACATAATTAAGACAACAGATAAAGAGGAGCTGGGGAGGAGAGGAGGGCGAGGGAAGACAGGATGAGAGTCTTGTGTTGACTACAGACAGACAAAGAGATGAGGGACAGACAGACAGGGGTCGTATTCACTAGGGCACACCGTAGCAATGGAAAACGAAAACAACTGTTTCTTATTGGGCAAGGTCAGGTAGTACCTCCCTGTTTCAGTCCATTTTCTTCCGTTTGGTGCCTAATGAATACACCCAGGGTACATGACCGGGTCAGACACAGGAAAAGGGGGAAATACACAGCTGTGTGGTTTTAGTCTCACAACATATCAAGAGCTTCAGCCAAGGAGAGGCCCCCTTTAAGAAAAATAAGAGGAACCCTCTCCCATATATAGTACAGTAAGTGCTTTAGAATCGTAACCCCCCCATTCAATGACCCCCCTCCCTGACCCCGCCCTCCTCACAGACAATCTGTTATGTATCTTACAGAGATATCGGATAGTCTAGAAGATACACCAAAAAAATCAATGGGACAGTGCTTGGCATCAGCAGAGGAAATGTTTGAACACAGGTACTGAAAAGGGGTACGAAAAGGTTTCTACGGACAAAATAACATTTTGTTCAGCAATCAATATTGAGGACTGCCCCCTCCAATCCAGATTATAAGGTTTATAGAGGGCACACCCCAAGAATCACTGACCATTTCCAAATAATGGAACTCAACATGGCTAAGGGAAAGTAATGGAACTCAACATGGCTAAGGGAAAGTACTGTATATGTATCGCAGTAACCATTCAGCTTGTTTTCTGCCTGGGTGAACACAGTGGTCGCGTTCCAGGTGGACTATATTGCAGTCTCACTGCACGCAGCAACCTATGGTTGCGTGCCACGTCATTGACTTTCCAGTCGGGCATCAGTTGGCTGTATCATTTTGTGGTAAGCTGATACAAAAACACCTATCCAGGCGTTGTGAGGTCTGGCAGGCGGCTGCAATGAAGTGGCCTTGAATGTGGCCAGCGTGAATCCACTGTAAATACCAAGAAGGAAGGATAAGAGGGAGATGCGTCTCATCTGTCCAGCAGTAAAGGACTCCCTCTACACTCAAAGGGAAGACATAAGGGACAATCAACATATCAATCCAATTTGCCATCAAATTATTTTGCATCAAAATCGATCCCTTTGTTTTTGGCCGTATTGTGGCCAAAACAGTTGCTTTTGCTCTTGAAAAGTGCCAGTTAAAGATGCTAAATGTAATGGTAGAATCTTCTGGAATGTCTAAAAACAATGCATCCACAGCACACTAAAGCCATGTGTGTATTTATATTGAGAGGTTCTCGACAAAAAGGTTTACAGTATCAATCCTTTTGAACAGTGTTCAGGCTTTCCCTATAGGTGTAGCCAGCCTCTCTCTCTTTCTCGCTCTGACTCCAGGGCTGAGTTAAGGCTGGCCTCACAGTGCCTACCATGCACATTAGAAGCTGTGTTATGGCAAGCCACTGCCCCTCTCTCTCTCCGCACACCCCAGGCAGTGTGTTATACTGGATGCAATCCAGATGGGCATATTCTGCACAATTTCTGCAGGTATTGCAAAGATCTGACAATCTGCATAGAATCTGGGTCTCTCGAACACACCCTTACTGTTCATCAGTCTGTCTGCACTCACCCCTCACTCCAGGGGATAGGAGAACCTCCAATAGATCATGGTTCAATTCAATCAGGTCAGCCTGGGCAAACTCTGGGACCTCCCAAAAAATGCTTTGAAAAAGTGTCTGTGGTTCCTGTAAAACCACTGCCGTATTTGAGGCACAACAAAACAATCATATTAAGACAGACTTTACAGAGAGAATGATACACGCTCAAAAGCACAATATTAAAAACCGACAACAGCCAGGGATGCTAACTGGTGAGGGCCCAAAAAGGTGACAAAAAATTTTCGCACAGAAACACGCTAAAAATATGTGGAAATTACAAGAAAATGTGCCTATTTTCAGTGGAGTTGTCACAATATCAACATTTGACTAATTATGTAATACCAAGCCAAGTATCACGATGCCGAGTAGTATCGTGATACCAGTGTTTGCCCTGACCCCCGCTCAGGACGCCTGTTCCTATTAGTGAATACATAGAGTGAAATGCTCAGTCAATCGATATCATTGGCCGTTCAGGATCTAAACTCACAAACATCAGAGAGATGTTTCCAAAACTCAGGGACAAATAGTGGGAGGAGCTTTATCAGATGATGGGAGGAGCTTTATAAGATGCGGGACCATTAATTGCACAGGAGGGTGTGTGTGTTCTCCTACAATATCAAACAGAGGCCTGTCCAAAATACAGGGCTTTCCTCACCCCGATCACAACCCACCTAATGACAGTGTGGAGCTGGATACACCAGCCTACCCTATGTGTATAAGAGCAAAAACACACAGAAAAGGTTTTAAAAAGCTCAGACGTACCCATCGATTAGCTTATTCAACAAGCTAGATGCCAAAATGTCCGAAGCAACAGACAAAAGGGTGAATCAGTGATACAGGTTCTGTGCTGTACTACTGAGGGAACGAACATACTTTTTTGTAGTTAGGGGAGAGCGTGGCCTACATAAATGTGTACTGGGAACCCAGCCCAGTAAAAAGAGAAAGAGGGAAGCGTAAGTGCACTTCTCCTCTTTCCATAGCAAGCTTAGCTTTAGCTTGGTCTCCTAACAGCACCACTGAAATGAACAGAGACTAGATAGCGACCTCTAGCTGTGTCAATGTGGGGCCTTTTCTGTGTTGTCACGTTTCAGTACAATCCCTGTGATTTATCCACCAGAGAACACAAGATCAAAAGGAAAACCTCTAACGCAAACTCTTACAAATTCTTTGTGAAGTCAAACAGAAAATCGACAACATTTTCTCTTACTAAGGTGTGTTGGATCTGATTCAGAATGTGTCTTTGAATGCTCACAGTGTCTCATCGCTCAGGGGAGATCCCCTCTGGGCAGAGATATGGTGAAGGGATACAGGAAGTAGAAGATTTCTTGGAGAGATGATCTCTAGTATGGGGGGTATGGGGTCGCCTGGGATGGCTGTGCTGCTGGTTGGGGTACACCTTTCCTGTCCAGGCACGCTCTCCTGCTCGCTGGGCATAAGTTGCTTGGTTGGTTTTGGAGAAGGTGAGAAAGAGTCTCCATTGGACGACTGAGCCAGGGGACCAGGCTGGACCTGGGTGTGAGACCTCTATACTCATGCAGCCCTCTAGAGCAGCAGGTCCCAGAGAGGGAGTGGGTTGGATGGGTGCGTCGTGACCGATGGGAAGGCTGCTGGATGCTTGAGCTATGTGGAACTGTCAGGTCAACCCATCACCTTTCTACTGACTGTTTTTGGTCCGGTTTGAGAAGAAGCAAGAAAGCAAAAAAGAGAAAGAGAGAGACAGAAAGAAGTGTGTATGTGTAAGTATCCGGTTACAGTAGACTATCCTAGTTCAGTGTGTGTGTGAGTCTGATCCGTCTAGCCAACCTAATAAATGTCCATATAACCAGAGTATTGTGGGTGTTGTACAGGGCCCCCTCTCATGGCCCCTGTGTGTGATGGGAGGCCTCTGGCCCCTCGCTGTCGGACGCCGTGTCGGACCCCGCTGTGTCTGTGAGGGCGCGTCCCTGGGTGACGATCACCGCCCGCCGCTGCTCCTCCTCCCCCACCTTCTCCTGGATGCTCTCAATGTGCTGGATGGCCTGGAGGTGGAGGGAAAGAGAGAGAGATATGGAGGGAAGCAGAAAGTGAGTGACAAACAGCAGTGGCAGACGCAGTGAGTACAGCACCATCTGGTGTTCACGCGTGGTAATGCACTGACAATTGCCACCTTTTAATGGACACATTCCATAGCACGACCAAATGTTTTACAAAATGACTTGACTGAAGAAAAATCTATCTGCAGCATCCCAAAGATAACAGTTGCTAAATTCCCCATAAATTCAGAGAGCGAACAGTTTTTTCCCTGCATTTGATAGAACTACAATTTCTCCCCAGGTGATGAGGTCTTCCGTGTCTCACCTGCACAATGGTGTCCAGGTTCTGGCGAGACGTGGATGCTGTGTTGATGACCGAGGCAGGGCCCATGGTTACCACGGTGACATGATGGGGAGGCGGGGCCGGTGCGGGGGCCGGGACGATGACCGTGGCGTGGTGGGTGGGGGCGGGTGGTGACCTAGGGGCCAGCACCTGGAGGAACAGGAGGATGAAGAGGTCACAGAGATATACGTTGTGCATGTTAGAGAGTGACTACATTAGAGTCAGACTGCACAGAATCACAGATCTACAAATCACCTTCCATCCCAAATAACTACATATTCATGGGATCAAGATGAGTGATTCTGCACCTTTCCTTGCCCAAACCGATCCCCTAAAACACGCTGTCTGACACTTTCACTCAGTGAAAAGCAGATATTTAGAAAGAGCAAGCCATTTGGTTCAGTCATCCTAAAACGCCACATGATGACCTACAACAGATTATATCCAAGCTTTATTATTTAGGTAATGACAAGAAAATACACTGCTCAAAAAAATTAAGGGAACACTTAAACAACACAATGTAACTAACTCCAAGTCAATCACACTTCTGTGAAATCAAACTGTCCACTTAGGAAGCAACACTGATTGACAATAAATTTCACATGCTGTTGTGCAAATGGAATAGACAACAGGTGGAAATTATAGGCAATTAGCAAGACACCCCCAATAAAGAAGTGGTTCTGCAGGTGGTGACCACAGACCACTTCTCAGTTCCTATGCTTCCTGGCTGATGTTTTGGTCACGTTTGAATGCTGGCGGTGCTTTCACTCTAGTGGTAGCATGAGACGGAGTCTACAACCCACACAAGTGGCTCAGGTAGTGCAGCTCATCCAGGATGGCACATCAATGCGAGCTGTGGCAAGAAGGTTTGCTGTGTCTGTCAGCGTAGTGTCCAGAGCATGGAGGCGCTACCAGGAGACAGGTCAGTACATCAGGAGACGTGGAGGAGGCCGTAGGAGGGCAACAACCCAGCAGCAGGACCGCTACCTCTGCCTTTGTGCAAGGAGGAGCAGGAGGAGCACTGCCAGAGCCCTGCAAAATTACCTCCAGCAGGCCACAAATGTGTATGTGTCTGCTCAAACGGTCAGAAACAGGGTGGTATGAGGGCCCGACGTCCACAGGTGGGGGTTGTGCTTACAGCCCAACACTGTGCAGGACGTTTGGCATTTGCCAGAGAACACCAAGATTGGCAAATTCGCCACTGGCGCCCTGTGCTCTTCACAGATGAAAGCAGGTTCACACTGAGCACATGTGACAGACGTGACAGAGTCTGGAGACGCCGTGGAGAACGTTCTGCTGCCTGCAACATCCTCCAGCATGACCGGTTTGGCGGTGGGTCAGTCATGGTGTGGGGTGGCATTTCTTTGGGGGGCCGCACAGCCCTCCATGTGCTCGCCAGAGGTAGCCTGACTGCCATTAGCTACCGAGATGAGATCCTCAGACCCCTTGTGAGACCATATGCTGGTGCAGTTGGCCCTGGGTTCCTCCTAATGCAAGGCAATGCTAGACCTCATGTGGCTGGAGTGTGTCAGCAGTTCCTGCAAGAGGAAGGCATTGATGCTATGGACTGGCCCGCCCGTTCCCCAGACCTGAATCCAATTGAGCACATCTGATACACCATGTCTCACTCCATCCACCAACGCCACGTTGCACCACAGACTGTCCAGGAGTTGGCGGATGCTTTAGTCCAGGTCTGGGAGGAGATCCCTCAGGAGACCATCCGCCACCTCATCAGGAGCATGCCCAGGCGTTGTAGGGAGGTCATACAGGCACATGGAGGCCACACACACTACTGAGCCTCATTTTGTTTTAAGGACATTACATCAAAGTTGGATCAGCCTGTAGTGTGGTTTTCCACTTTAATTTTGAGGGTGACTCCAAATCCAGACCTCCATGGGTTGATCCATTTGATTTCCATTGATAATTTTTGTGTGATTTTGTTGTCAGCACATTCAACTATGTAAAGAAAAAAGTTTTTAATAAGATTATTTCATTCATTCAGATCTAGGATGTGTTATTTTAGTGTTCCCTTTATTTTTTTGAGCAGTGTATATCAGCACACTCATCTTCACAACACCTCTTTCCTAGGAGCTTCTGGTGCCCTCTGGTGAACAACAATAACACTAACCATAGACCTTACTATGTTCCTCTCACTACATGTTCTGCAGCCTGTGTCCAAGTGACACTGTTTGTCATCATGTTGTTCCCTATTCAATCTGAGATGCCACTGGGAGGGAGGGAGAGGGGGAGAGAGACAGTCACCGCAGAGACTGGGATTTCTAGGGCCCTATAAAAATCTGCGTTGAGGAGAACGCTGACGGAATGACGGAATCCAGACATTAAAACGAAATTCAAAAATGTATTGAACTTAGCTGGAAATCAACTACATTTATTAGAAAATACATTCATTTGCCCAAGATTATCCTGACGAACAAAATGCATCAGTGATTCGTATTTTCCTTCAACTTTCTGAAGAGGCAACGGCACAGGAATGTCCATGTCTGTGTGTGCACGTTTATCTACCACTTCGTGTAGCCGCTAGCGATGATGCTAATGTAATGACAACAGTCTTCTGGTAGATGGAAAGGTTTTCCCCAAAACCTTTAAATTACATGTTAACTAAAAAAGTAGCCTACCTGGCAGAATGATATCATGATTATTTGCATAAATCGAGTGGCCATTTGTTTGGCAAACTCTGCAATCAAATGAGCGCTACAGAAACATTGCTACCCAAACAACAGTCTCTGGCTGGTGTGCAGTTCAATTCAAGGGTAACTACACCCCAAAATCAACCTTTCTTTTTTCCAGACCTCAAAAGTTGTCTCCTGGTGTGGTCTAAGCAATGTTGTGGACTTAGAACATCCAATTGTGTTGTTTTTCTATAAAACATGTGTGACTTTGAGAGCGAAAACCTGAAAAACAGAAACCTGGAAAAACAAGGAATTAATTGGGGGGGGGGGGGTTAACAGAATCAGGCAAAAACAAAACAATATGGGGCTCTAGAATGATTCCCGGGCTCTCAAGGATGTGATCGAAACGTAAAGTGATCTGTGCGCCGGTAATGGAGAGTCGACTGGAAATGTGTCAGAGCTGTTGACCACGGTAAACCTTGAGCTCAGCTATAGGTCATTCTCAGACGGGTTGTGTTGATGTGTTTCCACTGTGGCGATTTAGAGTCTTCCTGACGCCTCTGGAGACAATAATGTATGTCACATCAGAACATATGTCAGTCATATCATTAATGTGTGTGTGTGTTGATATGTGAGTGTGATTGTATGTCTCTCAGTCTCTTTCTCTCACCTGTGGGCTGTGAGCTGTGGTGCTGGCTCTCTCCTGCTGCTTGGAGTGAGTTCCTAACACATGTTCAGGCTGAGTACCACCGACCACAACACAGCAGACCTGAGTGGTTAACAGAGGTAGGACTCAGACTGGAGACAATAACACGGCCATTATTGAATATGCACAGTCATCTATTATTGCATCTCTGTGCAACATTGCTAATGAGTATGGTCATTAAAGCCTTGGATTGGACACAATAGGGTCTTTATATACTGAACATAAATATAAACGCAATATGCAACAATTTCAAAGACTTTACTGAGAATCAGGAAATCAGTCAATTGAGATAATAATTAGGCCCTAATCTATGGATTTCACATGACTGGGAATACAGCTATGCATCTGTTGGTCACAAATACCTTTAAAAAAAGGTAGGGGCGTGGATTGGAAAACCAGTCAGTATCTGGTGTGACCACCATTTGCGTCATGCAGCGCGACACATCTCCTTTTCATAGAGTTGATCAGGCTGTTGATTGTGGCCTGTGGAATGTTGTCCCACTCCTCTTCAATGGCTGTGCTGTCATGACTTCCTCCGAAGCTGCCTCCTCTCCTTGTTCGGGCAGGCCTCGGCGTTCGTCGTCACCGGTCTTCTAGCCACTGCCGCTCCTCATCTCATCATTCCATTTGTTTTGTCTTGTTTATTACACACACCTGGTTCATATCCCCTCATCAGTACCTGTATAAGAGTTCCCTCTGCCCCCTTGTCTTTGTGTGTGATTGTTTATTGTGGAGGTTAGTTTAGCTCGGTGGAGCGCTTGTATTTTGTATCGCCGGGATATTCACCCGTGTGCCTTGTTGTTTCCAGTGCGCTGGAGTGTTTGACGCATTGCTGCGTACCGCTGTGTCAACGGAATAAACCCGTTATTCTGTTATTTACCCTCCTGCGCCTGACACCTTCAAATCACATCACCACATGTGCGAAGTTGCTGGATATTGGCAGGAACTGGAACACGCTGTCGTACACGTCAATCCAGAGCATCCCAAACACGCTCAACGGGTGACACTGTCGTCTGGTGAGCATGCAGGCCAAGAATTGTGTACAGATTCTTGCGACATGGGGTCGTGCATTATCATGCTGAAACATGAGGTGATGGCAGAGGATGAATGGCACGACAATGGGCCTCAGAATCTTGTCACGATATCTCTGTGCATTCAAATTGCCATAGATAAAATGCAATTGTGCTCGTTGTCCATAGCTTATGCCTGCCCATAGCATAACCCCACCGCCATCATGGGGCACTCTGTTCACAACGTTGACATCAGCAAACCACTCGCCCACACAACGCCATACACGTGGTCTGCGGTTGTTTGGCCAGTTGGACGTACTGCCAAATTCTCTAAAACGACGTTGGAGGTGGCTTATGGTAGGAAAATGTACATTCTATTCTCTGGCAACATCTCTGGTGGACATTCCTGCAGTCAGCATGCCAATTGCATGCTCCCTCAAACCTTGAGACATCTGTGGCATTGTGTTGTGTGACAAAACTGCACATTTTAGAGTGGCCTTTTATTGTCCCCAGCACAAGGTGCACCTGTGTAATGATCATGCTGTTTAATCAGCTTCTTGATATGCCACACCTGTCAGGTGGATGGATTATCTTGGCAAAGGAGAAATGCTCACTAACAGGGATTTAAACTAATTTGTGCACAACATTTTAGAGAAATAAGCTTTTTGTGCTTTTTCTGGGATATTTTATTTCAGCGCATGAAACATGAGACCAACACTATATTTTTGTTCAGTGTAGTTAATCAGATACACAGGGTTCGTACTTACATTGGCAAGTCAAATTCAAGGACTCTTTCATTTTACATTACATTTTAGTCATTTAGCAGACGCTCTTATCCAGAGGACAGTTGTAATACATTTTTTTTTTTTTTTATACTGGCCCCCCGTGGGAATCGAACCCACAACCCTGGCGTTGCAAACGCCATGCTCTATCAACTGAGCTACATCCCTGCCGGCCATTCCCTCCCCTACCCTGGACGACGCTGGGCCAATTGTGCGCCGCCCATGAGTCTCCCGGTCGCGGCAGGCTGCGACAGAGCCTGGATTCGAACCAGGATCTCTAGTGGCACAGCTAGCGCTGCGATGCAGTGCCTTAGACCACTGCGCCACTCAGGAGGCTATATAAAAAATCTTCAAGCACATACAGTGGGGAGAACAAGTATTTGATACACTGCCGATTTTGCAGGTTTTCCTACTTACAAAGCATGTAGAGGTCTGTAATTTTTATCATAGGTACACTTCAACTGTGAGAGACAGAATCTAAAAATCCAGAAAATCACATTGTATGATTTTTAAGTAATTAATTTGCATTTTATTGCATGACATAAGTATTTGATACATCAGAAAAGCAGAACTTAATATTTGGTACAGAAACCTTTGTTTGCAATTACAGAGATCATACGTTTCCTGTAGGTCTTGACCAGGTTTGCACACACTGCAGCAGGGATTTTGGCCCACTCCTCCATACAGACCTTCTTCAGATCCTTCAGGTTTTGAGGCTGTCGCTGGGCAATACGGACTTTCAGCTCCCTCCAAAGATTTTCTATTGGGTTCAAGTCTGGAGACTGGCTAGGCCACTCCAAAACCTTGAGATGTTTCTTACGGAGCCACTCCTTAGTTGCCCTGGCTGTGTGTTTCGGGTCGTTGTCATGCTGGAAGACCCAGCCACGACCCATCTTCAATGCTCTTACTGAGGGAAGGAGGTTGTTGGCCAAGATCTTGCGATACATGGCCCCATCCATCCTCCCCTCAATACGGTGCAGTCGTCCTGTCCCCTTTGCAGAAAAGCATCCCCAAAGAATGATGATGTTTCCACCTCCATGCTTCACGGTTGGGATGGTGTTCTTGGGGTTGTACTCATCCTTCTTCTTCCTCCAAACACGGCGAGTGGAGTTTAGACCAAAAAGCTCTATTTTTGTCTCATCAGACCACATGACCTTCTCCCATTCCTCCTCTGGATCATCCAGATGGTCATTGGCAAACTTCAGACGGGCCTGTACATGCGCTGGCTTGAGCAGGGGGACCTTGCGTGCGCTGCAGGATTTTCATCCATGACGGCGTAGTGTGTTACTAATGGTTTTCTTTGAGACTGTGGTTCCAGCACTCTTCAGGTCATTGCCCAGGTCCTGCCGTGTAGTTCTGGGCTGATCCCTCACCTTCCTCATGATCATTGATGCCCCACGAGGTGAGATCTTGCATGGAGCCCCAGACCGAGGGTGATTGACCGTCATCTTGAACTTCTTCCATTTTCTAATAATTGCGCCAACAGTTGTTGCCTTCTCACCAAGCTGCTTGCCTATTGTCCTGTAGCCCATCCCAGCCTTGTGCAGGTCTACAATTTTATCCCTGATGTCCTTACACAGCTCTCTGGTCTTGGCCATTGTGGAGAGGTTGGAGTCTGTTTGATTGAGTGTGTGGACAGGTGTCTTTTATACAGGTAACGAGTTCAAACAGGTGCAGTTAATACAGGTAATGAGTGGAGAACAGGAGGGCTTCTTAACGAAAAACTAACAGGTCTGTGAGAGACGGAATTCCTACTGGTTGGTAGGTGATCAAATACTTATGTCATGCAATAAAATGCAAATTAATTACTTAAAAATCATACAATGTGATTTTCTGGATTTTTGTTTTAGATTCCGTCTTTCGCAGTTGAAGTGTACCTATGATAAAAATTACAGACCTCTACATGCTTTGTAAGTAGGAAAACCTGCAAAATCGGCAGTGTATCAAATACTTGTTCTCCCCACTGTAGTACCCCTTTCCTGAAGTCAAATGATCAAATCGTCCTCTAGTGGCCTCATGGGTGTAATGTTATTTTTTTCCCGTAATATATATATACATATAAAAAATTAAACAGCCAAAATCCAGTGTTTCTATGTCAAACGGCTTTGTTATATTTCAGTCTTCTCTGATGTACACTACCAGTCAACATTTTGGACACACCTACTCATTCAAGGGTTTTTCTTTATTTTAACTTTAAAAATGTTTGCATTGTAGAATAATAGTGAAGACATCAAAACTATGAAATAACACCTATGGAATCATGTAGTAACCAAAAAAGTGTTAAACAAATCAAAATATATTTTGAGATTCTTCAAATAGCCACCCTTTGCCTTGATGACAGCTTTGCACACTCTTGGCATTCTCTCAACCAGCTTCATGAGGTAGTCACCTGGAATGCATTTCAATTAACAGGAGTGCCTTGTTAAAAGTTAATTTGTGGAATTTCTTTCCATCTTAATGTGTTTGAGCCAATCAGTTGTGTTGTGACAAGGTAGGGGGGGTATACAGACGATAGCCCTATTTGGTAAAAGACCAAGTCCATATTATGGCAAGAACAGCTCAAATAAGCAAAGAGAAACGACAGTCCATCATTACTTTAAGACATGAAGGTCAGTCAATACGGAACATTTCAAGAACTTTGAAAGTTTCTTCAATATTAAGGGAAAAACACAGTTAAAACGTGAATAAACGTGAACAGTGCTCAGGTAGCGCTTGCAGTCCTTTTCAGTTTAGACTGAGTATTCATTTGATTTAGCTGTCCAGTGTGCTAGCAGTAAAATTGCCATGAGAAAAAGGTTTGTGGAAAAAGCAACTCCATCACGAGCCTCTCATCATTGAAGGGATAGTTTGCCAAAATTAGAATTCTTTTTTTCACTTGGCTATTATTAGGCTCATGTAGAAAGTTAGAAGTGTATAAATAATCCACATGATTGTCTCAGCAAGTTACAGTGAGGGAAAAAAGTATTTGATCCCCTGCTGATTTTGTACGTTTGCCCACTGAGAAAGAAATGATCCGTCTATAATTTTAATGGTAGGTTTATTTGAACAGTGAGAGACAGAATAACAACAAAAAAATCCAGAAAAACGTATGTCAAAAATGTTATAAATTGATTTGCATTTTAATGAGGGAAATAAGTATTTGACCCCCTCTCAATCAGAAAGATTTCTGGCTCCCAGGTGTCTTTTATACAGGTAACGAGCTGAGATTAGGAGCACACTCTTAAAGGGAGTGCTCCTAATCTCAGTTTGTTACCTGTATAAAAGACACCTGTCCACAGAAGCAATCAATCAATAAGATTCCAAACTCTCCACCATGGCCAAGACCAAAGATCTCTCCAAGGATGTCAGGGACAAGATTGTAGACCTACACAAGGCTGGAATGGGCTACAAGACCATCGCCAAACAGCTTGGTGAGAAGGTGACAACAGTTGGTGCGATTATTCGCAAATGGAAGAAACACAAAATAACTGTAAATCTCCCTCGGCCTGGGGCTCCATGCAAGATCTCACCTCGTGGAGTTGCTATGATCACGAGAACAGTGAGGAATCAGCCCAGAACTACACGGGAGGATCTTGTCAATGATCTCAAGGCAGCTGCGACCATAGTCACCAAGAAAACAATTGGTAACACACTACGCCGTGAAGGACTGAAATCCTGCAGCGCCCGCAAGGTCCCCCTGCTCAAGAAAGCACATATACATGCCCGTCTGAAGTTTGCCAATGAACATCTGAATGATTCAGAGGAGAACTGGGTGAAAGTGTTGTGGTCAGATGAGACCAAAATGGAGCTCTTTGGCATCAACTCAACTCGCCGTGTTTGGAGGAGGAGGAATGCTGCCTATGACCCCAAGAACACCATCCCCACCGTCAAACATGGAGGTGGAAACATTATGCTTTGGGGGTGTTTTTCTGCTAAGGGGACAGGACAACTTCACCGCATCAAAGGGACGATGGACGGGGCCATGTACCGTCAAATCTTGGGTGAGAACCTCTTTCCCTCAGCCAGGGCATTGAAAATGGGTAGTGGATGGGTATTCCAGCATGACAATGACCCAAACACACGGCCAAGGCAACAAAGGAGTGACTCAAGAAGAAGCACATTAAGGTCCTGGAGTGGCCTAGCCAGTCTCCAGACCTTAATCCCATGGAAAATCTGTGGAGGGAGCTGAAGGTTCGAGTTGCCAAACATCAGCCTCAAACCTTAATGACTTGGAGAAGATCTGCAAAGAGGAGTGGGACAAAATCCCTCCTGAGATGTGTGCAAACCTGGTGACCAACTACAAGAAACGTCTGACCTCTGTGATTGCCAACAAGGGTTTTGCCACCAAGTACTAAGTCATGTTTTGCAGAGGGGTCAAATACTTATTTCCCTCATTAAAATGCGAATTAATTTATAACATTTTTGACATGCGTTTTTCTGGATTTTGTTGTTGTTATTCTGTCTCTCACTGTTCAAATAAACCTACCATTAAAATTATAGACGGATCATGTTTTTGTCAGTGGGCAAACGTACAAAATCAGCAGGGGATCAAATACTTTTTTCCCTCACTGTAAATAGATATAACAAAGCATGTCTGAGTTTTCTGTGATGCAAACTTTAGTTTTTTGGTCTATATCTACCGGTAGAGACTGATAAAACCTGTCCATGTAGGCTAGCAGTAGCATTAATCTCACCCTGTCCATGTAGGCTAGCAGTAGCATTAATCTCACCCTGTCCATGTAGGCTAGCAGTAGCATTAATCTCACCCTGTCCATGTAGGCTAGCAGTAGCATTAATCTCACCCTGTCCATGTAGGCTAGCAGTAGCATTAATCTCACCCTGTCCATGTAGGCTAGCAGTAGCATTAATCTCACCCCTGTCCATGTAGGCTAGCAGTAGCATTAATCTCACCCTGTCCATGTAGGCTAGCAGTAGCCATTAATCTCACCCTGTCCATGTAGGCTAGCAGTAGCATTAATCTCACCCTGTCCATGTAGGCTAGCAGTAGCATTAATCTCACCCTGTCCATGTAGGCTAGCAGTAGCATTAATCTCACCCTGTCCATGTAGGCTAGCAGTAGCATTAATCTCACCCTGTCCGTGTAGGCTAGCAGTAACATTAATCTCACCCTGTCCATGTAGGCTAGCAGTAGCATTAATCTCACCCTGTCCGTGTAGGCTAGCAGTAGCATTAATCTCACCCTGTCCATGTAGGCTAGCAGTAGCATTAATCTCACCCTGTCCGTGTAGGCTAGCAGTAGCATTAATCTCACCCTGTCCATGTAGGCTAGCAGTAGCATTAATCTCACCCTGTCCGTGTAGGCTAGCAGTAGCATTAATCTCACCCTGTCCATGTAGGCTAGCAGTAACATTAATCTCACCCTGTTCATGTAGGCTAGCAATAGCATTAATCTCACCCTCGTCATTTGAGATGTTGAAGGGTTTGTATGATGTGTTTCAAATGAGAAAGCAACCCCAAAAATCAGTTTCCTTTGTAATGGAACACTTTGTATGGAAAGCCAAGTTGTCATCCTCATAAAATGGTTTTACTGCAACAAACTAACCCAACACCTATCAATTGAAATGGTGGGAAACAAACGAAAGTGTCTAAATCTCTCACAAAAACTGAATAGAAATAAAATCAATGGATAATTATATCGGAGCAGGAGAGCTTACAATAATTTCAAGGCTTTTTCAAGGACCAAATTGAGGAAATATCTGAGTTTCAACTCAAGGTTTTCCAGTACTTGATTTTCTGAGCTCCAAATTCAAGTACTTCAATCACTCTGTGCAAACACTGAATATGGTGTGTCCTGACAATTCCTTGTTGTGGTTGTGCATCTCTGTTCCTACCTCCTCCTGTCTCAAATGCTCCTCCAGCATCATGCGGACAGAGCGCTCCTTGTCCAGCTGCTGTCTCAGCTCCATCATCTCCCTCCGCAGGTCCTCCGTCTTCTCCTCCTCCAGAATGTCTGGGGAACCGATCCCTTCATCCTTCTCCTCCGCCCCGCGCCTCCTCTTTGGGGAGGAGCCGCTGAACTCCTGTTGGAGCAAGAGAGGGAGCGAAACGAGGGAGGGAGAGTCAGAAAGTCAGTCATGGAGGACTAAGATAGGGTTGATTTGGACTACGGCGGGTGATTCCTTCCATTAACAGTGTGTTTGATGAACAGTCTATGAACTAAGGAATGGACACAGAAATGTAAGCTGAATTTTAAGCGCTGAGAAGAGTAGAACATTTCTCATCTACTGAGGCCAGATTACTATTGTTAAAAAAACTAAGTAATGATTCTGAGCACAGTAGTGTGTCTAGAGATCCACGTGCTGGTAGGAACTACTGGTGACACCAAATGATGACTGGGTCTCACCTGAATGAAGCGTTTGAGCTGGCTGTTCTGCTGCAGTAGCCGTGTCTTCTCCTGCTCCAGAGCAAAGATGTACTCTGCTGTCTGCTGCAAGATGGCCGCCTGTAGAGGAGTAAACACTGATTCAACTACGACAAAATTATACATAGCAGCAACAAGAGCCTGTACAACTTCAAAGGGAAGACTTGCTAGCAACTTATCAGTACGTGTTACATATCTAGAATCATATGTACTGGGAGTTGAACAGGCATGGCAATCTGTCCTTAAAGCTTCAAGTTTAACCTACTAACCCAATCTCCCTGTCTGTCTGACTGATCTCTCTAGACTTTAACCTACTATCCCTGTCTGTCTGACTGATCTCTCTAGACTTTAATCTACTAACCCAATCTCCCTGTCTGTCTGACTGATCTCTTTAGACTTTAACCTACTACCCCTGTCTGTCTGACTGATCTCTCTAGACTTTAATCTACTAACCCAATCTCCATGTCTGTCTGACTGATCTCTTTAGACTTTAATCTACTAACCCAATCTCCATGTCTGTCTGACTGATCTCTTTAGACTTTAACCTACTACCCCTGTCTGTCTGATCTCTCTAGACCAGTACTGCCCAACCCTGTTCCTGGAGAGCTACCGTCCTGTGGGTTTTTGCTCCAACCCTAATCTAGCACACCTGATTCTAATAATTAGCAGGTTGATAAGATGAATCAGGTTAGTAACACCTGGGGTTGGAGTGAAAACCTACAGGAGGGTAGCTCTCCAGGAACAGGATTGGGCAGTCCTGCTCTAGACTAACCTACTATCCCAATCTCCCTGTCTGTCTGACCTCTCTAGACTAACCTACTAACCCAATCTCCCCGTCTGTCTGACCTCTCTAGACTTTAACCTACTATCTCACTTTCACTGTCTGACCTCTCTAGACTTTAACCTACTATCCCACTTTCCCTGTCTGATCTCTCCAACTCCTTCCTATCTGACCTTGCTAAATGTTCTCTCTCCATTTCCTTCTCTCCTGGACCACAATGTGTGGCAGACTTTTCTGCCTTTATTGTGTCCTCTTATGATTTCATTAATGCACGTTGTCTTTTGCTATGCGTTTTTCATTTGTTATTGTCTAATAAACAAGTCAAATCAAAGTCTGACCTACCTTGCTGAGTTTCTCTCCCTTCCTTTCCTCCCTCGGACCCACCTTGCTGAGTTTCTCTCCGTCGCTGTGGGGGATGAGCGTCTTGAGCGATTGGAAGCCGGAGTTGATGCTCTGCATGCGCCGCCGCTCGTTGCTGTTGGCGATCTCCCGACGGATCCGCCGCTCCTGGTCGCGCGCAGTCTCAGGGGTCAGGGGAATGTTCGCCAGGCTGGGGGGAGGAAGAGAAGAGGTCGTAAGGTTACACACTAGGGGTCGAAGGTCTAGATATCAAGCAAGCTCTTCAAGTTGACCTCAGGTCACAAGTTGACCTTTTTGGGCCAGTTTTGAATGGAGTATATATTCAAAACATTAACGTCATTTAGCAGACACTCTTATCCAGAGCGACTTACAGTTAGTGCATACATTTTTATTTTTCATACTGGCCCCCATGGGAATCGAACCCACAACCCTGACTGTTGCAAACGCCATGCTCTACCACTGAGCTACATCCCTGCCGCCATTCCCTCCCCTACCTGGACAACGCTGGCCATTGTGCGCCGCCCATGGTCTCCACGGTCGCGGCCGGCTACGACAGAGCCTGGAATTCGAACAGCGATCTCTATGGCACAGCTACCACGCTTAGACCACTGCGCCAACATAATGACTACTTGAGCACATGTAGCTAAGTATGAACTATCAAAACAGGCCAGAAAACAAAGCATTGTTGAGCTTCCAAAACAGATCCACTGTGATGGTCAATTTAAATGCTAGAAATACAGTAACAACCATGTCATGTGCCATGCTTCGTATGTACCAAGCTGACTATGCCCTGAGAAAACAGCATGAAAGTGCAGAACAGGCTTTGATGCGGTTTTCTTATAAAACCCTAGCAGACGCTTCACATGGCCCACTGCACAACACAATGCTGACTTTCCTGCTAGATCCCCTGGGCCAAACCCCATTGTTTCAGGACTCTGAACCCACGGAACACAGCCTGTGAGAATTCCAACCATAAAAGCATTCGTCATCCTGATTCGTTCAGCATGGCTCCCACACATATTCCATTGGGGATGGGAAATGTATAATTGAACTTCCACTAACATCCTCTGTATCTAATGGCAGTATCACTTGGACGCTTTCTAGTAGCAAGGCTCTTATCAGTACTGACTCAGCTGCCTCAGAGCAAACACAGGGAACAATTGTGCAGACACAGATGGGGAGAGAGACCATGTCTGCTGCTTCCTTACATCCCAGAAACCAGCCAGCAAACACAGCCTCTGCCAAATCACGACTGGGTGGTAGCGACTAGCGAGCCCATTCACAAATACAACCACCATAGCTTGACAGACTAGGAACAGTATATTAGATGAGTTGCTTTCAACAGGGTTCCTCAATGAAAATAAATACAATTCAAATTATTGCAACAGTAACATAAAACATTAATGTATTATCATAAATATATATTTGTAAGTGAGAAATTATGTTTGAGAATGTATTATGGCCATAAAGACTAGAATTGAGTGTTGCTTGCACAATTTTATACAAAATCCTACATTCAGAATTGTACACAATTCGAAAATAGAACTACATTTCCCAGACCACGTGCGCAGACCACACTTTATCCCTCATCTCCACCTCCCCTGTCTAGAAAAGGTTGCAAATGCATCGACTGGCCTTCCACCATACACACCCCCTTATTAAAAAGACCACTATTACATTTCTCAATCGGTTGCGGAATGACTCGCGGCAACACAATCAATCTCAAACGTACCAATCTGTTTTAGAATGTATCGCGCCCACACACTACCGCGTTCAAAAACACACTAATCGAGCCCTCCGCCATTACAACAATGCGACTTCTTCCTCTGTCCATGCCGCAGCATGGCTGAGCTGCGGGATGAAAGACGCAGTGCATATGGCACTAGAGTGCACCAAAATGTGGCCAAGAATACCAGCGAAACTGTGATTTCGTTGCATAAATGCGATTACTTAAACTTTCGCCGTGAATTTCCATAAATTATCAGGAAATGTGAAGTTACTGGAAAGAAGACTACGCAAGATCCCCCAACACTTTAGCACAAGCATGGCCGCACTGCCCACAATAACTTCAGCGCGCTCCCCAACGAACTGAGCAAACAGTACCCCCTAGGACTTACGTGTGAGCTAAACTCTGGTGCGACACCTTTGTTATGCATGTGCAACCTCTCCTGCGCCTATGTAAATTAGTAAGCTTATCGAAAACATAACGTAACCGTTGGGAAAATATCAAAATAGCCAGGAATCTCTCGTAGCAGCGTGGTTGTGCATGTAACCACGTGGGGTATGTTTGTTAGCTACTAAATGTCTCAATTTCGCTAAAGTAATGGTAAAATTACGTTACACAGGAATGCACTGAATCGTCTTCTACCTAATATGAGTACTTAATCGATTTTCAATAAAGATCATATTTGTCTCGCTCCCTGACAGTGGGTCGTGTACAGTACACAATAACATACAGATCATATCAAGCATGTTGCCACGCCACAGTCGCTAAGTGCGCTCCACAAGCAGAGATAAACAAATTGTTATCATATAAAATAAGGCGAAATAGTAAAAGTGCATACACACCTGCAAAGACCCCCAATCACTTCTTTATCCGTTTTCCTAAAATGTTGCAAGGAGGGCACCTTCTGTGCTGGTACCATGAAATACTCCATGCTTTCCTCTCCAGTTGTGTGTCCCCCAATTCCCGGTTCAAATGAATTAGCCAATTAAATCTGTTCCAGTTTCAGGTGCAAATTCCCTTGCTCATAAATCTAGAATAATTTCATAATTCGGAAAATTCCTTATGTAGTAGCAGAGCGCTCGGAGTTGTAATCTTACTCTACTTCCAGCTGATAGGATTCCCTCGTTGTGTGGCGCTCTCAATCTCTCTCTCTTTCCTTCTGCATGTACGTGTGTATGTGTGTAGTTGCAGCTGATCGGATGTCTTTCAAGGCGGGAAACAGCTGGTAGGAATCACACTGCACTATCAAAAGCCTCCTTCCGCGGACAGAGGGACTGCATGATGTAAACAAAGGACTATTTAAATATACACTGGAGGGGGCGAGGCACGAGTCTGGTGGATTAAATGATAGCCACAAATGTATAATTGTCCGCATTGAGTGATTATAACGATCATTGATGCCATATCTGGAATACTAGTAGCCTAATCTACATTTCTGATGACAATATCTTTTTTATGAGGATTTTCCATGTAAGTTACCATAAAAAAATAATGTTTGCATGCATCACTTTGTTATTTTAAATCTACGATATTTTTCGAAATGTGAACGATAGAGCGGTGGAAACCAGTCTGTTGTAGGGGCGTGCACTGGTCTCCTCTCACCACTATGAAGCGAACAAGCGGGATCAGCTGACGAGTTGGCTGGGCTCACAAAAACAGCAACAAACTGTTGGGGGGGGGGGGGGGGCGAAGGGGAAAAGCGCCGAGAGAAAGAGGCTGACATTGAACAGCTGAATGTGTTCACCATTTTGGTTGTAGGAGAGGAGGAGGAGAGTTACCTAATCGCCACTCCTGCCTTGTTGGTGCGTGCTGTGCGAGCAGAACAGAGCTCGAGCCACAAAATGGGAGCCGTACCCTTGCACCCGGAAATGTGTGTAGCATAAACGTGTGTTACAATGTTGGTAAATTTGAATGCTGATCGTTCGCTGCTGCAACAATTGTTACACTTGCTGCTGCTGCTGTGTACAATGTTGCATGACAGGCTATTACGACGTTATAGTATAGCGCCATCTTTCTCCCAAAACTGCAGGCACTGCAAATTTAGCACAGGATCATTTAGCTACTTATTGACACGCCCAAGCTATTGCTTTTCCTATGCTATTAGCGATTAATAGTCTTTATATGACATCATGACAGCGTTCTGTGACAAAGTCTGAATAGATAGGCTGGACCTAGATTCATTGATAAAAAAAATGAAAGCCTACAGTCAGCTGATTTTGCTTCTAGGCTAAAGGAGCTCACTGGGTGGTCAGGCTAGATCCTGCTATGGAAAAGGAAGACCTGGCGCATGTCCTACAGCATGATGCAACAGTATTGCAGATGACATTGACAAGACACAACTATTTTCAGCTACTAAAGAGACATTATCTAGGAAGGCTATTCCATATTCCTGTGTAACTTTAATATTGTGCCCATTGGCTACTGAATAACATACATGTAATAAATGGAGGGCAGGAATTATTAGAGCACTTTGCATTATTTCAGAGAACATTGTTAGTGTCATAGCCTACACACATAATTATATGCAATGTAGCCTATTACATAACTAATATGATTAACTATTAAGAGCCTAAACGCATGACTCCAGTCTCATTTCTGATCCTACCCTACACACCTGAATCTGAGCATTCCCAACAGTATTTATTCAGTAGTCTACCTAGTCATAAAGCATATGAACAACTGGATACGTTTTACAGGAAAGAAAACCTCTGCAACAAATCTAACATACATTGGTAAAGGTGGTAATTAATCTGTTATTACATATTTTGCACCAGTCATCATTGTTCATAGGCCTACACTGCTCCTCCAGTTCACTGGTAACACACACACACACACACACACACACACACAGGCCCTGGGGGACAGCAAGGGACAGGGACGCTGGCATAATACCACAAAAGGACGAAGGCAACACAGTTGAACAGGAATATAATTCATTAGTTGTGTTTATATCATGTTTATATCCTTCAGTCTAACATTAACATAATATGTGTGTGAACATGTTGCTTGGGGGGCTATTGTTATATGTTATAATGTTATCTGTTTCAAGTATTTTGCATATATTTACTTTAAAGTTTCTAATATAACAGGTTCACACAAGCTGCTTTATGCACATAGGCCTACACTTAAAGGCTATACAGTCAAGTAATGTTGTCAACCTGCCATTATGTTTAGAGTAATGTGATAACTGCCTGTCTGGAGGCTGTGGCGATACACACCGCTTACCGTTCACCTTAAGTAACCTGTTTGTATGGCTGTTTTCATCAATAATAATTATTGACACATTTATATAGGCTATGTTAAGTTGTGTACTTTAGTGTGAGGGTAATTGTTTATGAATTTAACATTTTTGGATGTACCACTAGGTACCAGCCACTAGGTCCAAAGATGTCTGTGCAACATGAGCGTTACATAACTTCATTGTTACTTAACGTTTGCCCCCATACATATTTACCCATATTTGCCCCGAGACAGACACATTCAGCCATTTACATGATCAATTATGAAGTTATGTTGCACTTGATCATCAATCCTAGTCTTGCGAGAGCTAGACCTATGTGCAACCCAGCACTAAAACACCGGACACAACTGGGCGGCAGGTTGCCTAGCGGTTAGAGTGTTGGGCCAGTTACCGAAAGGTCGCTGGTTTGAATACCCGATCTGACAAGGTGAAAAATCTGAAATCTGTCAATATGCCCTTGAGCAAGGCAGTTAAACCTAATTTGCTCCAGGGGCGCTGTACCACTATGTCTGACCCTGTAAAACAACCCATTTCACTGCATGTGACAATAAAACATTTATTATTATTATTATTATTATTAACTACTCATCAAGATAATATGGCGTATTAATGCTGGGCTGGAACAAAAACCTGCTCACTTTGTAGCTCAGGACCAGATTGGAGATTAAAATTCTAAATGTACTGTTACTGATACGCCCTCTGGTGGTTGGATGAGGTAAAACAATGTTGCTGGTAAACACTTACCTGAAACACCATTATTGCTCTGGGGTTTTTGGTACCCGGAGGCAGTGTATCGGAGTTCTCCCTAAGCAACACAAGTGGGCTATGCCTAATGGTGCACTGCAATAATTTTACCTCATTATTAGGGCTATGGGCCTAGGTATGTGCCGCCTATTGTATTAGGGATTCATAGACTTGCTAGGTAGCCTAAGCACATTGTTTGGTCCCTGTAATTTCCTAAATTAATTTAGTAATTGAATAACAATAACATGACATTAGACAAAAAGATAGGCCTTTATATAGGTATATTTATAATAGTACTATTTTCTCCCATCCTCTCTAATAAACTAAACGCTATTGAATAGAAAATAAGCAAATGTCATTTAAAAGACACCAAAACAATTAAGAAACACGTTTGTTGAATATAAAGAAGTTAAGGGGTTAAATATGAGCACCAAATATGTGGCAAGGAGTTTTTTTTAAAGAAGCTCAGCAATTTCCTGTTTAAACTTGGGAAAACAGAGACGTGTCCACTAACACAGATGCATAAAAACATGCAAACCAATTGTCTCCTAACACATAAATAGCCCTTATGATTTTCTGTATGGTTCATTGTAAGAGTTAAAGAGGGTTAAAGATAAAGGTATGTCCAGGGGGAGAGGGAGAGAGCCTTGTTTTGAGAGGAGCTGTGGACTGACTGCCCATGGTGGATGGGCGGAGCAGCAAGCATGCGCTGAGCTGGCAGAGCCGGGGCTAGTCCGCTGCGCGCAAGGAGAGGGAGATCACGGGCTGGCTCTGGTCCTCTCAGACGGACACGGGGAGAACCACCTTACCAATCACGTCTCCTTGAGGGCTGAATAGGCGAGAACAGAAAAGAGCAAGAGAGAGAGTGAGAGGCAGGGAGAAATATAATAATATAAAGCTATAAGGACAACACCTCCGTTTGTAACCACAGGGAGTCGGCATCTGGAAACATAACGAGCGAAGAAGACCCCCCCTCGCGACATCTCTCGGCTCTGTATCTCCCAGCGCACCCCTCCTATAGCCTACTCCCTGGAGAACGACCACCCATTGAACACCCTAATTGACCAGCGTTGTCCATTAAGCGATGCACTTTGAATCCAAGACGAAACCGAACGCGTAATTTTGATGCACATTTTACAACCAGTGATCTTCATTTTCCAAAACCGAACAGTTTAGACTATGGATACAGTTTTGGGTGTTTAGCCTAAATTTGACGGGTTTCTGGTGACGTGAAATTATCTCATCCCCGGTAACTGACATCAACACTATACTATTATCTCTTATTGTTTGTGGAGGAGTCTTATCATCTTCGTTTTATTCCATTTTCCATTTTCTTTTTCAAACCAATGGTCTGGGAACGGACCGCCTCACTCGACACATAATATTTTATTTAGACGTGTCAGCTTCGTTTAGTGTTTCGAACAAGGACAACATTACAGAATTGCAAGGGACAGGCTTTTGCACAAAAATACTGAGTGGAAAGTTTGTTGCCGGAGAGGGAATAAATCGGAGACATTTCGGCCATATCCACGGGATTTTTCCCTAAGGTAAGCCCGTTGCCTTTAGCCTACAACACCCCTATATCCTTCCCTCTATCCTTCTCTGTGTGTCGGGTTATTGTTACACTGGATGACATATAGGCGTTACATCATTTGCTCTGGCAGTTCGTTCCCGTCTGGTATATTTGTAAATGTGGTCTTGTGTGTCGGAGATACTCGGTGAAATGTGAAATGGGCAGAGTTTAAGGAGGACAGCGCGGACTGACCTAATTTCTAAATCCACAGCGGTGGCCAGCCCTGCGGCGTTGTCCAGAGCCGCCGCCGCTCCGCCTGGACTGCCTGTCATATCTTTATACGCTGGCCATGGCGTAGGCCTACGTGCACCGCCAGCGTCTGTAGAATTTACGCAGACACCGTGTCATCCCTCATATTCATAGGGACACGACA